TTTTTTTTTTTGTGAGTTAGAATTATGCTCTACATCCTTCTCCAGCTCTGTCCAGAACCCTCTGTTGTGATCCTGGTCAGAGCTGGTTACTTCACTTTTTGAACCTTTGTGTTCTTACCTGTAAAACTGGAATAGTAGTCGTTCTCTCACAGGGCTGTTGATGGAATTTAATGAGCTAATGGGACAACTGTTTAATGAGCTTGGCTGCTAACCGAAAGATTGGAGATTCAAGTCTACCCAGAAGCACCTTGAAAGAAAGGCCTGGTGCAACATGAGGTAGCCATGAGTTGGAGTGAATTTGACCAAAACTGGTTGGTTTAATAAGTGTAAAGGGCCTACCACATCATGGGAGTTCAGTAAATGCTAGTTCCTCTTAATTTTGTCCACTTAAAATTATGGAAAGGAATGTTGAACAAGGCAAACTCAACCCTCAGATACTTTATGCTCCCCCTCCCCCACCGTGATAGCTCAGAATCACTGGTCTGACTAAACTGGAAATCTAATAGTCTCTTACCTTTGTTAAAACCCTAAGCCTTAAAACACTCCATATAATCTTAATTGTTAATACATTTGCACCCTGGTGCCTTGATAACTCTCCCTATTTATAACTTCTACCCTTAGCTTCATTTTAATGAACTCCCACGATGTAATAGGCGTTTTATAGACATTAGCTCTCTGGCAAGGCAGGTGGGATAAATAGCTAGTAGGTGGTACAAGGGCAGCTGCTGAGGTGCTGTTGTTCTATTTCTTGATTTTTATTTTATTTATTTATTTTTGTGGTTACATGGTTATATTTACTTTTTGATAATTTCATCAGATGCTGCTTTTCTGTATGTATGTATGTTATGCTGCAATAAAAATATATTTTAAAGGTACATACAAGCAAGTTCACTGAAATGTTCGTTGTGATTTGGAAAAACAGAAAAGAAATAGGGAGGGACCATTCCCTGGAGATGGACCTCATGCTTGATAAAGTGGAGGGTCAGCAAAAAAGAGGAAGTGCCTCAACAAGATGGATTGACACAGCGGCTACAACAGTGGGCTAAAGCATAACAACGATCATGAGGATGGCACAGGACCGGGTAGTGTTTTCGTTCTGTTGTACACAGGGTCACTATTAAGTCAGAACTGACTCAGCGGCACCTAACAAGATAGCTATATCTTACGCAGTTAAAAAAAAAAAAACCCAAGTAGTATAGCTCCTAATCTGGTAATCCTAACTCTGTCACTGCTTGCTAAAGTCAAGTAAATTGTCTAACTTTCATGAGTCTTTTCTCACCATAAAACACTATCTAATTTGTAGGGTATTGTGGCAGGAGAAGAGGTTGTCCCTAAATGTGTGTAAGGTGGAGAGTTCAAAGACTGTATGCAGACTTTGATTGTCATCTCCTCTGGTAAATTGTATTCTTGTGGATGGGAACCACAGCTAAGTTAACTTTGAATCCTCCAGCCTAAATTAGGGATTCTCCTCTGTGCTTTCTCCTGGGTCTGTAGTACCCAGTAGAGTAGCCTCCACTCACATACGGCTATTTAAATTTTAATTAATTAAAACAAAATTAAATTAAAAATTCAGTTCTTCAGTCTTAGTAGGTACATTTCAAGTACTCAGTAGCCACATGTCACCAGTGGCTGCCATATTAGACAGTGCAGATAAAGAACGTTCCCTTCATGGCAGGGACTTTTTTAGGACAGTGCTTCTGTGGCAGAACATGTTTCCCCATTGTATTGTAATCAGTGACCAGTCTCTACTGGTCTTCCTTGCACTAGACCAATAATTCTCAGCCTTGACTGTTTCACTGTAGTCACTTGAAGTACTCTTTTAAAAAAACAAAAGAAAGAAAGACATCAGGCATTCCCAGGTATTGAGATTTAAAAAAAAAGTTACTCTCTAGGTGATTCTGATGTGCTTCTACAATTGAGAACTGCTGTGTTGGATTATGAACTCTTATGAGGGCTGGTACTCTGTCTTTCATCTTTGTTATTTTGTGTATTTCTCAACATAGTTTACTAGTTTGTTCAACAAATACTTGTTGAGTACCTAAAATGTGCTACTACTCTGGGTGTTGGTTGTGTTGGGCAAAACAGACAATCTTTGCCGTCATAAATTTTACAGCCTAATGGGAGAAGTAGATGTTAATCAGATAATCAAACTGGAAAATAGAGTAAAACCTGTGTAAGACGGAAACCTGTCAGAGAAGGAAAATTCAAATATTTTCCACTAACAGAGAGCAATAGAAAAGGTAAGACGAGGCAGAAAACTTGAAAAACCCAGAAAAGCAAGGCTGTCTGGTCAAGTTCCTGCTGTCACAGGTTTCACTGTATAATTACAACCTGGTAAGTGCTATAAAGGAGAGCTTGAAGGGCACCAAGAGGGAGATAGCAAGAAGGATCTGATGTAGTTTGAGGAGGGTGGTAATGGGAGCACCTCTCAGAGGAAATGACGTTCATTGGGTGCTTATGCTGTACTAGAGACTATGCGTCGAAGATAGACCCGACGGCACATAACAACAACAGGCTAAGCCAAGCAAGGCCATGGAGCAGGTGCTACCATTATTCCCATTTTATGGATGGTAAAGGAGAAGCTCAGAGCCAGACTAACTTGTCCAAGGTGCCACACCCAGCACGTAAGTGGAAGGAGTGCCTAGGTAATTCCAGCTGTGGTGTTCACTGCTACTCAGTACTTTGTCTTCCTGGCACGTAGTCGGGGCTCAGCAAGTGGTGAATGAATCACTGTTTGCCCACTGGGCGGGTACCTGGGAAGCACTCTGCGAATGGCTGTTAAATGTTCACTAACATGAATATTCATGAATGAATCAATCGTATGTAACCTCCCAGCATTCTAATCCATGGGATGACATCGCTGACTCCTGGCTGGCAGCCATCATAGTGGCTGTCTTGCCAGTGGCATGGAAACATGGGCATAAACCCAGCTCCGTCAGGGCTTCTCCTAGATTGCTGGGGCCTGATAAGGTTTCTGCAGTCAGAAAGGAGTCACAGCACACCTGGTGTTTGGTCAGCTTATGTGGGCAGCTCTGTGACATTTAATTCTTAAAAAAATAGCTAGATGAGTAAAACAGTGGTGTTGCACATCTTTCCATGATACATGCCCAGTGGAATCCAGGCAGTCTCCATCCAAGGGCTTTTGGCCTCATCCAGAGAAGCCACAAGA